GCAAATTGTCCCCTCGACTGGAGTTCTTCCAGGAATTCAACCAGGGAGCAGGCCGGCCAGGGGAAGGGAGGGAAGCCCTGGACGGCAGCCGGCAGCCCCTAGGGACCCTACCAGTGCCAAATTTTTGTGCACTGGGCCTCTAGTATCTTTATATTTACCTCAAACATCATCTGCTCTTTTTCAGATAATTTTTATTGGTTTGTGTACATTCCCATGTGCCCTGACGGGGAATCAAACTGTGGCCTCCTGGTTCATAAGCCACCCTCAACCAGTGAGCCACCATGGCCCAACAAGATTACTTTTGGCTCTGGGGTCAACATGTAATTCACCAGTGCTTCCTTTTGTTCAGGTTGCTGCTGTGGAACACGGGATCTGGAGGCATCCCTTGAACAGAACGTGTCTGTAAGAGTGTCACAGGCAAAGAAGACTAAAATACCTTTGTCTTCCCAGAACAGCCACCCTTGTGAGAGTTGTGGTCTGGTCTTAAGGGACATTTTCCACTTGGTTGAGCAAGAGGGAACACAAAACAGCCCGAAACTGTTGAGGTGCGGTGCGTGTGCAAAACCATTTTATTTCAGTGCAAAGTGTCACCAGGACCGTGAGCAGCACAGGAGAGGCGAGCGTTTGATAAGAGGTTTGGACGGGGCCTCACCTGCGAGGAGCTGCACATACAGTATGTCCCAGACACTCGTTACCAGTAAGAAGGTTGGACACAGCATCCCTACTGCCTCGGAGCAACTTCAGCCACAGGCTACTCATACCACAGTCAAACCAAGTGAAAGCTCGAAGGCCGGGGTTATATGTCAGAACAGAAAGAATTACCATACCAAGAAGGAATGTAAAAAAGTGATTGGCTGCAATGACACTCTTGTTCCAGACCATGCTGGCCATGCGGGAAGGCAGTGTCTTGTGGGCCCTGAAAGTAAAAAAGGTCTTAGAGGAATCTCTGGTTTTCGTTATCAGAACGTTCACTCGTTGGAAAAGTCGTACGAGTGCCGTGAATGTGGGAAGTCCTTTAGAAGAAAGGATAACCTGAATGAACACGAGAGGATTCACACTGGAGAAAAGCCTTATGAGTGTGGAGAATGCGGGCTGTCCTTCAGCCAGAAGTGGAGCCTGAATCAACACCAAAGGAGTCACACTGGAGAAAAGCCGTATGAGTGCCGTGAATGTGGGAAATCTTTTACCTATTGCTCTGGACTCCGCGGTCATCGGTCTGTTCACACTGGAGCAAGGCCGTATGAATGTAGCGAATGTGGGAAATGTTTTACCACAAAATCCTACCTTCACGTTCATCAGAGAATTCACTCTGGTGAAAAGCGTTACAAGTGCAGTGAGTGTGGGAAATCTTTTACCTATTGCTCTGGACTCCGCGGTCATCAGTCTGTTCATACTGGAGCCAGGCCGTATGAGTGTAGTGAATGTGGGAAATGTTTTACCACAAAATCCTACCTTCACGTTCATCAGAGAATTCACTCGGGTGAAAGGCGTTATGAGTGCATAAGCTAATGCAGGTAAAGCAACTACTCTGTGTGCTTGGTGCATGGTACGGGCTCAGGAAAAGGTGGCGATGGTAATGGTGCTGATGCAAGTGGTAATGTCACTCACATCCTTCCTGAAACTTCTATTTCATCGACTGTCAAATGGTATAATACCAGTCCCTACCTCACTCATGTGTGAGGACTAGAGTATTGGTTCAACTGAGTGTGTTGTCTGGCATCTGATAAGCCCTCAGAAATGGTGGTGGCGACTTCTGCAGTGATGTTCATTCATTATGCCTCTGTTTACCTCTACTCTTTTCTAAGGCTTCAGCTTTAAGCCATAAACCTATCCAGGATGCTCTAAACCAGTGGTTCTCAACCTTCCCAATGCTGCGACCCTTTAATACAGTTCCTCATGTTGTGGTGACCCCCAACCATAAAATTATTTTCACTGCTACTTCATAACTGTAATTTTGCTACTGTAAACAATACGTAATTATATATGTGTTTTCCGATAGTCTTAGGCAACCCCTGTGAAAAGGTTGTTTGACCCCCAAAGGGGTCGCTTCCCACAGGTTGAGAACCGCTGCATTAGAGGGAGGTTTTAGGTTTGTAGGGAATGTAGTTACTTTGTTCAGTGTTAGCAGCACTGCGGGAAATTTAGGCTTCCGTGGTCTGACTTTCATCTCATAAATCCCATCCTCAAAAGTAAGGAGATTTTCCATAATTTTAGTTATGTGGGAAGCATGTGTACTTACGTTCTACCTTCTAACCCGCCCAGGGCTTAGTGTCACTGAAAATTTCTGTGACAGAATCCATTTCACCTGAGCCAACACTGAGCAAGCCCCACACTTTTCATCAGTCACCGTCCTCATGTCCTCGGGGAAGCTGATGTTGTTCCCCTTATTAGTTGGAGGAAATTAGGAGTAACCTGAGCCCCTAGGAGATCTGCATTTCATTTACTCTGACTATTTGGGGCATGGGCCTGACCCATTTTTGACCCCAGAGAACATTTTCTGAGTTCAGCTGGCATCTTCCAGAAAAAAATGTTTTCAGAGACACGATTGCCCTAGATAACCTCTGGTGAATATTTCCATTGTTGCTGTCACCCAAAGACTGGTTGGGTGTTTTTAAAAAAAAAACTGGTTAGTTTTTTATAATAATAAAGGCCTTTTTGTTTAAGTCTTCTATAACTTTGGATGTTTTCTTTGTGGTTTAGGTTATAAGCATATTTGGGCTCTACAAGCACGAGGAAGTGAACAATTTTTTACAAGGGTCTCCACCTCTCTCTGCCTCTGAGGGTTGAGTACGGTGGGGAAATTAATTCACAACTTTGCGCCAAATTTGCATTGCTGCCCACATCATTCTAGGAAAAACTGCAGGGTTTCCTGGTACTCATGTGAAGCCTGAATGCTATGCGTTTTAGAAGACTCAGACATCACTTTCAAAACCTAGCTGGGGTGACAACTTCACCTGCTTCTAGGATCAGCATGAATTTTGTTTTTCGCACGGTATGACAGTACTTTTGTTGTTAATCTTCACCCGAGGATATTTTTTCCATTGATTTCTAGAGAGAGTAGAAGCAAGGGAGGGAGTTTGAAAAAGAGAGAGAGAGAAAGAGAGAGAGAGAGAAACCTCAGTGTGAAACAGAGACCCATTCATTGGTTGCCTCCTGCATGTGCCCCAACCTGGGCCAGGGATTGAACCTGAGACACATTGAAGCGTGGGTGGACTTTCTCATTACAGACAGAGCCACACCAGTCAGGGGTATGTGAGTACATTTGAAGGGAATTGCTCTTTTACGATCTTCCAACGCATCATCTGTCTTTTGTTTTCTTTTTTCCAGAGAGGAAGGAAGAGGGAGAGAGAGAAACACCAATGATGAGAGAGAATCACTGATCAACTGCCTTCCCCACGCCCCATTCCTCACCAGGAATTGAATCATGATCTCCTGGTTCTTAAGTCAACTCCTAACCACTGAGCCTTGTTTTTTCATCTGTCTCAATGTCTACAATTCCATGGGTGATGGTCACTGGTTTTAGGACCATAGTTCTTACAGAATGCCTTCTACACAAACCACTGAGCCTTGTTTTTTCATCTGTCTCAATGGCTACAATTCCATGGGTGATGGCCACTGGTTTTAGGACCATAGTTCTACACAGTCACTAACTTAATTGGGATTGGAGAAGCTTGCAGCCCGCTAGATGGAATCAGCCTCTTCTCTAGGTGCATCCAGAAACGTTTCTGTGAAAAAGACTGCAAGACCAGCGTGTCCACACATCTGAGGATCTCCAGGCATGTTTATCTTCTGTGCTCAAAGTCACTGTTATTGAAAATAATCAAAGGGTTTTGTGCATTTCTGTACCCTCTTAGATCTTTACCTGGTGATCAGAGTACCCAGGCAGGAAATCAAAGGTACAGGAAAGTATCTATAGACCAGGGAGGTACTTTTGTGACCCAGCCAGTATTTCTGTTGATTTTGGTGAAAATTCTTCATTGTTTGGTATAGTTGATGTCACTAAGACAAGATTTGACCTCCAGAGGATATGAGAACCTGAATTGAATAGAGAGATGCCAAACCTATTTTCTAAGAAGTGTTGGACACAAAATTTAAAAGAAATTTTTGAACCATTTTTTATAAGTTTTAATTAGTAAAGAACATATTTCAAGTATACTATTTGATGTGTCTTGACATATGCATGAAACTGAAACCATCCCTGTAATCATAGTATTGCCCATATCTGTCACTGACTTGACTTTATGTCTTTTTATAATTTCTCTCTTGGCACTAAGAAAGGCATCTGTGTGCTCTTGTCTCCAACTCCAGATTACTCCCCTCTTTACTAATCTATACAAGGGACTTAATAGCTGAGCTTGATGGGCAATAAAATGTGTCCAAGCCTGGCCAGTTTTGCACAGTGGATTGAGCATCGTCCTATGCACCAAGAGGTCACTGGTTCCATTCCTGGTCAGGCCCAGTTTGGGTCTTGATTCTCAGTAGGGTGCCTGCAGGAGGCATTTGATGATGTTTCACTCTCACATCAATATTTCTCTTCCTCTCTAAAGAAAAAAACTCACTAAAAAGTCTTTTAAAATATTTAAGGAAAAGAAAAACATTCAGATAAATCAAATAGCAATGATTGGTAGCGTATCTGTCAACGGGTTTGATAAAAAACAATCTTGTTTTAGCTAATTTTATGAGTGCTTTCCTCTAAGGTGTTCTGTAAGAGGAGGGCAGCTTTTGTCCTGGCAGGTGTGGCTCAGCTGGTTGAGCGCCATGAGCACCATAAAGTGGACAGTTCGGCTCCTAGTTAGGGCACATGCCCAGGCTTTAGGTTTGTTCAATCCCCGATTGGGGTGCATGGTGTGTGGGAGAGGCAACCTATTGATGTTTCTCCCTCTCTCCCTAATGATCTATATAAAATCAGACATCAGTTCTGTATCAGTCTTAGGCCCAGAGAAGCAGCATGGCCTGGTGTGGCTATGTAATGGTTGCAATGACTCATGACCCTCTGCCCTGGCTATGACCAATCAGTGGAGACCACGAATCAAAAAAGGACTGAAGACCCAGGCAGCTCTTGCTTTCTCTGGAGCACACAAACCCACTTCCTGCTTCTTCCATGGGCGAACCTTTACTCTCCTCCTCCTAAGCTCCAAGGACCCTTCTTTTGCCTCTGTAACTTCTTTCCTCAGCCCACACAGCCCATCTGGCTAACTTAGTCTATCTCCCTAACTCTCTATATAAACTCACTATGATTTGAGATCCTTGGCCCTGAATATTTTTCTTAACCGAACTCAAAAACCAAGGTTGCTGAACCAAGGTCAAATTGCTAGTAACAACTGGTGTCCTTTTGCCACCAATAGCTCTAGCAAGCTAATTTAACCTGAGGAAGACACTCTAGAAATCTCTGATTTATAGTATTTTAAGAATTCTTATTATTTCTAAATTTTTATTTATTGATTTTAAAGAGTGAGAGAAGAAGGGAGAGAACGAAACATTGGTTTGTTGTTACTGTTCCACTTTTTTTTTAAAATCCTCAGCCAAGGATATGTTTATTGATTTTTAGAGAGAGGAAGGGAGAGAGAAACATTGATTGATTGACCTTCCCTATGTGCCCCAACTGGGGATCAAACCTCCAATCCAGGTATGTGCCCTGACCGGGTAGCAAATCCACAAACTTTTGGTGTATAGGACGATGATTCAACCAACTGAGCCACTTATCCAGGGCTTGTTCCACTTATTGATTCATTGCTAGATTCTTGTATGTGCCCTGATCAGAGATCAAACCCACACCCTTGGGGTACTGGGATGATGCTCTAACCAGCTGAGGTGCCCAGCCAAACTAAATTTTTATTGGCATTAGAGAGTGACAGAGAGAGAAGGAAACATTAATCTGTGGTTCCATTTATTTATGCATTTACGCTCAGTCTTTTTTTTTTTAATATATTTTATTGATTTTTTTTTTTACAGAGAGGAAGGGAGAGGGATAGAGAGTTAGAAACATCGATGAGAGAGAAACATCGATTAGCTGCCTCCTGCACACCACCTCCTGGGGGTGAGCCTGCAACCAAGGTACATGCCCTTGACCGGAATCGAACCTGGGACCCTTCAATCTGCAGGCCGATGCTCTATCCACTGAGCCAAACCAGTTAGGGCTACGCTCAGTCTTAATGAGAACAGCATCACCTGTCAGCTCTGTGGTTTTTCCAGGGGAACACTTGAGTCTGAGCTCTAATTTGTCTGCCTCTTTGAGCCTTTGATAATTTGGGCTGGGTCCCCTCACCTTCACCCACCTTTTGGGTGACAGATTTCGATTCATCCATTGAGGTGAATTTGATCCCTTGGTTTGTGTCTCAGAGTGTTGCTGGACATGGCTGTGACATTCACTCTGCAGGACAGGGGACAACAGGATGTGAATTTTGGGACGTCGTACTCAGAAGTGATGCTGGAGATCAGCAGAATCAGGGTCCCATTGGGTGCATGCTCGCCTCTCACCCATGAAAAGGCCCCCGGGCTTATGTTCTTCT